AAATCAAATTGATCGGCACAAATAGTTTATATACGATTTACTCGCGGTCTTAATAATAAAAACTTTTTCCACGCGGTTTCTAATTATTGCGGGAATTATCAATCTTCCAAACTTCTTCTTAAGTTGCGGGCAGACTCCTTGCTCGCCTTGCGGTCGAAAAATCAATCCCGTTTTGTAACATTTTTCCCATCAGCAACCCTACCACTCAGTCTTGGTTGTTTTCTCTCTGTCCTTTTTTTCTTCTTATGCCTATTTTTGCCCGCTTTAGAAGTATGTACATGCTATATGTAACCCAGTACAAATGCAGTATGAAAAATTTAATTTATATGGTAGGCGCCATGTCCACTTGCCTAATACCGATTAGAGCTATCCTATATTTTACGTTTAAGTATATTTATAATATATATTTATCATATATTTATTCTATATTTTTACAAACATTTTCTCAAAAATCGCACCTTTCTGCCTGAATTGTTTTCGTTTTTAAGAAATTCAGGAAAATTGATCATTTATATTGAAAACTGTCCTTAGAATAGAAATAGGATTTGTTTTTCATAAAGTTTAAAATAATATGAATTCCAATTTAATTTTAAGTTTCCAGTATTGCAAGGTTTAAAAATAAAATTTAAAATAATTTATTTCTTATAGGAAACGAAAAAATTCCAATTGAAAATTGAAGCCTCTGGTGGAAGGTGTTAACTTACTAATGACTAGGGCAACTCAAAGTATGTTCGAGCATGTTTTTTGTCAGACATGTAAGCAACATGCTGATGAAAAGTTTAAACGTTTTACAAAAAAATATAAAGTTTGAGTTATATTTCATAGAGCATATTTTACGATAAAAGCATATTTTGCAATAAATACGTATTTTCGGATACTTTGCATTGCGTTGTTACGTCTGGAACTAATAATAAAAATTTGTAAAATAATAACAATATGGTAACACTGTGTCGAAAATTAAATAAATATCATAGTGCGCGTTCACAGCATGATTCACAGCATATTTATATAAAGTTTTTTCTGCGCGAGAAAGAGAATACTATATTTTTCGCTCTTGACAGGGGAGTTGTCCCGCCACTGACCCGTATTATAATTTCGTTTGGCAAGCTAGTAACAAAGCCCTAAGGATTTCATCAAACGCAAGTAAGTATTTTTAGTTATGGAAGTCTTTATAAGCCATCATCGATTCGCCACTTCTCGCTCGCTATGTTTGAGTCCCGGTCGCTTAAAGAAGAATTTTGCATATGAAAGCAACAACAAAGTTAGACGATAGCGAGTTTGGTTGTACCTCATTGAGTTCGTTCGTTTCGCCACTTGCTAACAGTTGGCGAATCGATGACGGCTATTATTCATAGAAAATTTTACATTTCAGAACATGGGAAGAATCAAACAAAAATGCTCTTCAAAGCTTGCGTTATATGTACGGCGATTTCTTGCTTTTACGACTGATGGAAAAATTCTTTTTTGTAAGGTGTGCAACAAATCTGTCGCGGAAGGTAAATTGTCTTCCATTAGGCAGCACTTGGAAGGCGTGACACATAAGGCGCGGCAGGCCAAGAAAATGATTGAGGTGCAACAACTGATAAGACAAAATCAACCGATTCACAAAATGAACAATTCGTTGACGATATGTGCAAAGCTTTTGTGTCTGCTGACATTCCTCTGCAGAAATTAAGAAATAATAATCTCAGAATGTTTTTTGAAAAATATACCATCCGAAATCACATTGCGTCGTAATGTTTATCGGATTTACACATGAACCATTCTTAATATAAGGACTGAAGGGAAAAATAAATATTTGTGGATATCTATTGACGAAACGACTGAATCTGTTGGGCGTTAAATAGCTACGGTGATCATAAATATGTATTCAAAATGAAGGACAATTTTTCTAAAATATGCCTACATATATTTACGTAGTATAAAAATCAAAAGAGTATTTATGATTCTAAATTCTTAATACATTTTAAACTTTAAAAATGAATCACGTTTTCTTAATCGATATTAATCTTTTTTTAAATTAATATTTATAAAAGTATAGTAAAACATATTATAATTACAATAGCTTACACGAAAAGTAAAAATCTTTAAAAGATTATTTTATAGGCAAATTTTGAGTCGTTTAAAACGAAAACAATGCCCTTTTTTTGTTTTTTGTACTTTTCGTAGTTATTTGTCAAAAATCGACGTCATGAATGGACGTAAACGACGAGTTACAAAGGTATTTATGTGCCCTTTACAAAAATATATAATTTGTGCAGAGTGCGCTTCATAGTATCTACATTTCTAATCCGAGTTTTCATTATCTTTGGCTCAAAATTTACTGTAATGATATATCTTCTTTATCGAATTTTTAAGCTAATGAAAAAATAATCAAATAAAACTGCGTATTTGATTGAAAATCTCACTTTTTTCGACATTGACGACAAAATGCAAATGGTCGCCTGTAGCACTTATAATTTTCATTGAAGTCGCCACAAGTTATATATTTTGGTAAGAGGCACATCAATACTCTTCGAGATGTAAGTCGCTTACGTTGATTGGGAGATTTTTTCATGAGATATTGAAGAAAAGCTACGAAAAGTACCAAGAAACACTTTTTTGAAAAAATCCATCCATTGTCCGATAATTTTAAAATAACGAATAAAATGCGGGACAAATGCAGGACACTTGGAAAAAAGCAGTACATTTTCAGGTTTTTCAGGTTTGAAAAACTACGCAGGACCGACTTTTGAAAAACAGTACGGTCCTGCAAAAAATAGAACGGATGGTCACCGTATACATAGCATATGTGATGATAGGAATCTTGGATGGGCAACTTCCATCAACGAAACAGATGTTGCTGAATATAGTTACCGCCCAATTCTTTGTTACCTTGATAAATTATTTGTAAAGAAATTTTATCAAGACTTTTATCAAGTAAAAGCTCTCATCGCATTCTGTGTCAATATTTATAAAATAAAAAAGCTCTACGATTTTCACAAGAGGGGAACCGATTTCCACATGAGTGGAACTGATTTCATTGTCACATAAGAAAAATATGAATTTAAAAGCAAAAAAGCTTTTGACTGTCGTAGCCGAGTAGGTAGAGATGTCGGCTATAAATTCTGGGTGTCCCAGTTTCAAATGCCGACACATGCAGTATTTAAATGAAAGAAACAAATTTTGTATACAAAATTTATAATTTTCATATGAAATTTCAATTTGTAAACGCTTATCAACAGCATTTTCAATTTTGATAATTTATCAAGAAAATAACTTTTGATTTCTGTGCTAGAATTCCAATTCTTGATAAATAATAAAAAATTGGCAAATTACAAAAATTTTGTATTTATCAAGTGTAAAGAATCGGGCTGTTAAACTCGATAAAGCAGATCATGAGGCGATTGGTTGTTTGTTTGATGATTCCCTAAAGCTTTTAGGTGAATATACCACCAAAGACAAAATTTTACTATTTTTTACTGATGCAGCGCCGTACATGACTAAAGCGGGTAAGGTTATCTCGGTGTTTTATCCAAAACTCACGCATATTACATGCGTGGCACACGCATTTTTAAACAAATGGAGGCAGATTTGCCATTTCTGCCGCAGACTATCGAGAGTAAGATTTAATTAATTTTGCTGAAAAGTATATAGTTGAAGAAACTTTAGCTTTAAAGTATGCACCGATCTCCGATCTAGTTTCTAGATCTAGATCTAGGCACCGAACTACAAGGTTTAAAACAAATTGCCACAAATTTATTCTTTTTGACAAAATCTTAGAAAATTCGTAAGAAATTCAAAAGTAATGCTATAAAAATTATTAAAATAAAGATAAACATATTTTATTCTGAAGTTTATTCTCGATATAAAAATGGACTGCCTCCTTGAACTGAAGTGGAACCAGTCAAAATAGGATATTTAGCATTAATGCTATCACTGTAATAATACTTACCGTGATGCCAATGTTTCTCCTGGTAAGGTAACTACAGGCGTTCCTGTCCAAAGAACATCCATAGAAGTGGTGTGTCCATTACAAAGCGGCGTGTCGAGACATATGTCAGCTAATTGACCACGACGGACATGTTCTTCTTTTGCAGCCACGTTTGAAAAAATCACACGCTCAGAAGAGAGACCTTGAACAAAAAAAAGAGCTAATTATTCATACATAGTTAGTCGGCTTGGGGAGCTTTTCAACTAAAGAGCGAAAGAGCCAGCTCAAATAATTGATCTAGTTCGTTAGTTTGTTCATTAAAGGGAACTAAACTTT